AAAATTTGACGTCATCAATTTTGAACAGTTTTTCGCTATAACTTGGCAAAAAAAAAGAGGTATCGATCTCAAATTTGGTATGTAGATAGAAGGTGGTAGAGACTATCACATATATTCCGGTTTTTTCGAAATTCAAAATTGTTTTTGGATGTTTGGCTATTATTTTCAAAAACTCTATTTTTTTTTTTTGGGGGGGTAAAAATCCAACAAATTCGAAAAACCGAAAGCGCAGTTTTGTAACCCTCTTGATTCCACACCTTTTATGTCTGAAACATTTTTCTGTATCTCTAAAGCTGTAGGCCTGACTGCTCTTCCCGCGAAACCTTTTTTTGGGTCGAAAATGGCAAAAATGACGTCACTCTGACGTCATTAGCGGCCAACCTATCATAGCCTTTGGAAACTTTTTTGGTCACCATGTGCGCTAGCTGCTCCCGGGAGGGTGCTGAAAGTTTGGTGACGATCGGCGCAGCGGTTCTCGAGATATATTGAAAAAACTAAAAGGGGGCAAAAAAATCCCCTCCCACCGCCTGGAAGGTCCTCGCCGGACCTATTGGTTTTCTACATACGCGCCGGCCGAGGGGGGGGGGGGTACGACCCCCTTGCCGTTTTGCCACTGGTGGAGCTAGCGTGTCGCGGGAAAAAAAAAAAACGAGCGTGTGAGCCGTTACGAGACGCAGAGATTGATACCCGATTTTAAGGTCCAAGGTTAACCGGTGACCTCTGAGGTCAGGTGAAGTGCCCCAAGGTATGGTTCCGTTTTTGGTGAATAACTTCAAAAAACGGCCGCAGAGTTGCGATTTTGGCAGCATCGTGTTCTACTCGCTCAGGCGCGTCGAATGATATACTTTTTGTTTGGGTGAGGTCAACTTAGGGTGTTGCCCACAAGTCACGGTCAGGTCAGCGCCCCCAGGTCACGAAATTGGTTGAAGTAGGTCATGTTGCATATCATTCGATTTGGCAGATTTTCCTGAGTCCATTGGTGGCTTTTCCGACTCGCTAGCTCAATTTGATCGGGAATTATTGACGAAAAACTAATATGACCCTAATGACGTCATAAATGACGTCAGCAAGGTCAACATTGCAAAAGTGACGCATGTAACCTTGCCAGGAGTGCATCAAATCACGATTCTGTGTGCTTGAGGTACTTGGAGATCGTTCCCGGCGCCAGAATAGCAGTTTTCATTTTTCCCCATTGACTTAGGTATAATGGTGAGGTCACGAAAATGACCTGACCCATAGACCACTATATATCTGGACTGTGCACGGAAATTAGGGCCCTGCCATTAGGGCCCTAACTTTCGAAGGTCATCACAGCCAACTTATTCGCCATATGATGATGTGCTTTGGGAAACATCACCACTAGTCAATTTGTAATCTGAGATATATCTTACATTGAGCAAAAAATATATAATATTAGCGCAACCATCGAAAAAAGAAGGGCATTTTCTGCCCATTTCTTCCATGATTTAACATGGTGTGGATGATGGTTCCCAGCTAATTTTCACGAGAATTAGCCAATTTTCACAGACATGTAGCGAAGATTTTTGCAAGATTATTGTTGTTTGTTGTTTATCATTGACATGCAGGATAGTTCTCTTTTGCCTTTAAATAAGATGAAACCTTTTAATGCATACATGCCACTGAAATACAGTAAAATGTGCCGCTAGTGATAATCACTTCAGAATATCCTATGAACAGAACAGGGAGTGAGCATATTCAAAGAGCCAAGACAGTGCATGCAACAATGTCAGTTTTCCGGTTCCTGGCTAAGGCATCAATATGAAGTCAATTTCTATATGCTCTAAAGCTGAAAATGTCTTGGAATTCTGACCACTGGGCTCCCTGTGAGTTTTATTACATGCTGTGACGCTGGCCGAGACCGAAAAATCGAGCAGAAGACAACTGTAAGGAGAGGTGCCAGTTCTCCCCTCTGGTCGACATCGGCGGTCACTTCCACAATTCATTGAGGGAGATACGCATGCAAACATGTTGCACATTGCACACGTTTCCAGACTGGCGGCTCCTACAATATCAGTCATAAGTGAAGCCCAAAACTAGCTAAAGTCTTGCAATTTGGTCAAGTGATGGTCACATATGTTATGGCTTGCGGAGAGCTGGCGTGCCCACATCAGCAATCTGTGTTCCGCTCCTGCATGCAAGCCATGGGTCCTGCTCATGGTAACAGCTGCCGAGTCGCTCTCTCTTCGGCACACGTATAGCTTCAAACGTGTGTTTCAAGACAGCGCGACTACCATTGTAAAGGAAAACGATGACTTTCTTCACATTGCTCGCTGAGGGAGTCACACTGTCGAGAAGCACCTCAAGTTACAACGCTACGACCTGCATTCCTTCAACACATTGATGTGTATAGTTGAGCGAAAAACAAACATTGCAATTCATGGAGTCAATATGGACAGTATACCGTCACTCAACACCAGCGATGCGCGAACAGGCTTCATGAAATAAGAAAGCTTCATGAAAATGAGAAAGGTTGAGCCGCAGGACGTAAACACAATGCAACATTTCTGGGATCAGTTTGTCTATGCAATCAATAACTACGATCCTTTTCGTCGATGTGTAAGCAGTAAGATACCTACATGGCTGAGAATTTCAGATGTGGATATACAATTCGAATAGCATTGGCGCGGGAGCCGGGGGGGCAGTGGGGGCAGCTTGCCCCCCAACTCTGGGGCCGTGGGGGCGGTGCCCCCACAGCTTTGAGACGGAATACCACATTTTTTTGCAAATGTTTTTCTTTTTTGTTGAAAAAGCCGAGGGATGAAAAACAAGTGGCCTAAAACCGGTGAGAAAACTAGATTTGGGGGTACCCTAGGTTGATCTCTATTATGGTGTGCCCCCCAGTCGGAAAGTAGTTCCCGCGCCCCTGTCGAATAGTAATTAAAGGCAAATGTAGCACAAGAACTATAAGAAAGTGCATTCCTAAGTGCAAAGCTCTGCTGCAGTGTCCAGTGAACCGAGATCTCGTGACTCCGTCTAAATCTCGAATCTCGATCGCCATCACCCGCTGCAAAATGCGGCCACCGTCACTGACAACGGTGTTCAAAAGTCCCCTTCTCTCGAGAGGGACAGATGACAGAACCCGTCTGTCCCTATGCTGAGCATGAAATCGGCCTCAGTGGAAGCAGGGAACAGTTGTGGCCCAGCAGGTCACCTCGGACGGTCTCGCTAAAAACGCAGCACCGGCAGCTTTGTTATTTACCTATAGGAATCTTCGTAATTCCGTGGCGCAGATCGTGTGGGCTTTCAAAGCATTGAGCCGGGTGCGTGTCTGATTTAGACAGGCAAATTAATCTGCAGTGTGTCCAGTATGTGATCAGACTGTCTCTTGTCAAAAACGACCGATCACGGATTGTTCCTGTTTATTGATGCTTTGAACTTAATACAGTGTGATATACCTGTCTATAAGTGCTTTTATCTATTTATCGTGTTCAAAATCATGCTATAAATTATAGGTACATTTATTAAAATATACATCACATTTAACTAGTTAATTTCATTTAAATGGGCTTACTAGCGCGTCAATACACAATTCCGCGTGCTACGTCGAATTTTCCAGCAGGGCCCTAATGGCAGTCGGCAAAATCCGTGCACAGTCCAGATATATAGTGGTCTATGCCTGACCTCATATGACCTTTAGGAAAAATCTGAGATAAACAACTTGTGAGACTCGTAATGCATATTAGATCTTGCAAGTCTCATTTCCACGTAAAAGCTCCTCTGGCAGTGAGGACGTTGCGAATTTGCGACATCTGAAGACCGTGCAGAGGTTTACTTATGACGTCATAGGTCAGTGACCTGACCTGACCCGAAAATGCAGTTGGTGTCAAAGGATCCGGCTTGAATCAAAGGTCAGGTATGCCAAGTTTCAGCTCTCTATCCTAGCTGTTCGGAGCTATCACGAAAAACCCCTATGGGGGCACCCCCCCCCCCCCCGCCCCCCATCGGCCGGCGAGGGTTAAAACGGCTTTAATTTTAATAGCTAAGCCCTCATTTATCTTGTTGAAATGAATATCTACCTATCACGCTTTTTTATCTTACCGGCTTATCTTATCTTATCTTATCTTATAGGCTTATCTTACCGATGAAGGAAACATAGGAATATGTAAGTGACTTATATGTAAAACACGGACGCACATTGACTCGTCATCCTCTAAAATTATCAACAAATCGACATCCGTGATAGCGCCTATTGCTTACCGCGCTGTCCGCTGATCCTCTGCGCCAGGGATGCGGAGCCGTGGAAAGTTCAGACGGCTCTGGCTCCGGCTCAGGCTCCCGGGTGAATTGTCATGGCGGCTCCGGGTCCGGCTCCGGCGGCTCCGGCTCCGACTCCGGCTCCAGTACTCAGTACATCCCCTATGCAATTAAATACGGGTGGAACAAAAAAGACGATGGGATTGGTATACCTACGTTGCTTTTGTATTTGCATAGCAAGGCTATTTTGAATATCACATGTACAGTCCACAGCAGAAGTAATGTGCGGTTTCAGTCATGGGTATGTTCTGCTTCTGAAGCTTAGGAACGATTAACCAGACTACAATGAAACTTTGAATGTAGCTTATATGTATCGTCACCCGTGCAGCTGCAATTTTAGCCATTGACATCTTCTTTTCGATCACTCCGCATTAAACAATCGCCAGTCAAAGCCAACCGTTGAGATTGGTAAAACCCTATATTACTTTAGCGGTGGGCTGTACCTACTGTCACCGCCTTGTACTGTCAAACCGAACTATAGGTCAATCATGTTTTCCTCTTCAAAAAAAACAGGAGCCGGAATCGCCTCCTTTTTACGGCTCCGGCTCCGGCTCCGGGCTATATTGTTTCACGGCTCCGGCTCCGGCTCCGGCTCCGGGCAAAATATGGCGGCTCCGGCTCCAGCTCCGGCTCCGACTCCAGCTCCGGCTCCGACTCCAGCTCCGGCTCCGGCTCCCCACCCCTGCTCTGCGCTGAACCCGTGCCGTAGCTACAGAACAGGGCAGGTGTGAGTCTGCACTGAATCCGCGCTGTGGGTCCATGCGAGTCTGCGCTGAACCCGCGCCGTGCCCCCGGGCGGTGGCGCCGCCACCGACAGCCGCTGAGGAGGCGAACGGGGGAAGCGGCGAGCGAACTGCGACGTGGGGGGAGTGGCGGGCGAATGTGGTGTGATATCGCGTAGGACCACATCGGCTGGGCTACCGCGGATCCGTGTCAGGTGAGGACAGAGCGGGGACAGCTAGGGGATGTTGTGCCGCGGGTTGTCGGCCGCGCCGCGGCCTCTCCGAGCCATGAGGCAGTGTGCGGACTGGGCATGCTGCAGTGCGGCCGGCTGGTCGGTCTGTTTAGCTGTCATGGCGCTGACCGGGAACAGCTATGGCGGGCGCCTGTCACCGGCCGACTTCATCCAGGCTGCCTGTGGAATGGACTAAGGGGCCATCTTGCTTCCACGAGTTACAGAGGATAACGACATAGGCACATGAAAAACTACCCTGTCAGGTGGTGCTGAATATTGATGCTGTTCATAATCCCTCCCATGTTTTTGACACCATTGCCTGTCATTCGTGTAATGGTGAAAGGATATTACATTTTCACCATTCAAACATTGTTTAAGCTAAGTATTACTATGCTGTTACAGTCTTGTTATGTCTGTTGCTGTCTAGCGATGACTACTAGCGGGAGGAAATGAAAAACTTTCCTTGCAACCTCAGTCGAAATGGATTTTTTGTTTACATCATTTCCTTGTTTCAGTGAATGCATGCTTAGACAGCTGTCACTTTCGCGTCATCGAGGCAGTTGACTTGATCGCATACATTGGCTGAAACATACATCTTTCATGCTCTCAGTCAACACATGGTGATGCTCTTGATCTTTGGATCATTTAAATGTAGCTAAAAAGTAACACGTTACGACAATCGATGGCAAAATTGAAGAGTGACTGACATTGCCATATAACTAACACCCTCACAATGCTGCGATAACGATTGTTTAACAGGAATGGTCATCGCATCGAGTGCAAGATCACTTCCGACCACTCCTCCAGCCCCAGACAAACCTGCCACTGCGCCACACTCGCCGCCATCGGTGACGTCACGCCGTGCCGTGTGGCCGGCGCCCTGGGATGCAGTGCGCTTAGCTAGCCGCGTACAGAGACCGTAAACGGCTCTCCGGTCGGCACACGGCACTCTGCCAGAGCAGTGGCCGACCCGAGCCGGGGCGGCGCAGCGGCCGCTCAATGGCCGGCCGGCCGGGGTGCCTCTAATTGGCCGACTCTCCCGCCGTAAATGTCCACGGCGCCTCCTATTCCTGAATTTATGGGATTTGGTCGCGCGGAGCGCCCGGCCCGCAGCGCGCTAGAGGCGGCCGCCGAGCGGGACGGACACACCGGTGGAGAGGTGGCGGCTGTCTGCGACGCACCGCGGTGATGGGGGCGGCCACGGCCACGCAGTACGCAGCAGAAGAGACGCTCTATCTCTAAGAGAGGTCAAGCCGTAAAACGCCGGCATGGGTAAAGTCAAGCTTGCCTCCGCCGCGAGTTTTCCGACGGCGACTGCGGCTCCGCACAGGAAGCTAACCCGGCGCCGTGTGATGCGATGCGGCGCAGTATCCAGCCGAGCGCTATGGGGCCACCAAAAACTCAGCGTTCGGCGTCACCAGCGCTCGGCGATCAGCCCTGCTCACTGCTCAGTCCTTCTGCTCAGTCCACCTGTCATCTTTCCTTCTGAGCTTGAGCTTTTGCTAATTGGAGACCGCCGAGTGCTCATGATAGCCTGAGGACCCCAGGCAAACGTATGCAGCGTTGGGAACAGCTGCAGCAATGGTGATGGCGGTGATGGCGACATGGCGGTTTGGGACTTCATCTCAGCGCGGCCGCCGCCCAGGCGCCGCGCTGCGCCCGGCTGCTCAGCCACCTACCGGATGGCGGGGTGGCCCTTACGGCCCTCACGCCCGTTCGGTCTGCGGCCACGTTGTGGGGTGGCGGTCGCGGGGTTAGCGGCGTTGGACTTCGTCCTTTATCCAGACTGCACCGTACCATCTGAACGGATGGATCTGCCAAGAAAGATGACATCCAAGGCGGCTATGAGGCGATCACAAAGCTTCACCAAGAGCTTCTCCTTCATGGGGCCGGCCGGCCGTTAAGTCGCAACACCGGCTGCCGAGTGCCAACAGCTGCGTGCGCTGGCGCCGACGCGTTGTGGGCCGCGCTGCTGACGCCCAAGCTGCGATATCAACCATCTATGAATAAGTGGCAGCGGTGGCGGCTTGTCAGTTGTTAACGTGCCTTAACAGACGTTGCGAATAGCCCGCGTTGGAATCGCATGGTTGGGAACACAACGCAAGTAAAAATGGGCTTCCTTGATGAACCTACTTTTTAAGCATTGTAGCCTTTGTAATTTTGGATGTTTTGCTGTAGATATTATTTTCTACATATATACTATATAGGCACTCACGTGCTTTAAATCGCGCAATGCAATTGAACCATGGTAAAAACAATGATAAATGAACTGAGAGCTGACATGCCCCATGCTTTGTGTGTGTATGTGTGTATGTGTGTTTTTTTTTTTTTTTTTTGGCGAGTCGATAAAAGTGGTTTTGGACACTGGATGAGCTTTTAGGGATGTGGTGAGGGGGGATGTAATTCCACAGACCTTCTGTCAGATTCACTAATGCAGTAGGTCTGTGCGGTGTTTAGTTATCGGAGCATTCTTTGAAAGTCGTGAATAGGGCCACCGAGTAGGTACCTATAAAAGCCGTGATATTCCCCCACAAAAACTTCTTTTAAATAACCGGGGATAGGTACATGAGCAGAGTAAATGCTATTACGAACGCCTATCACAATGCTGAGCGAATAGGAAAATCCATAGATGGAGAATTGTGCCGCGTTACGGGTGCTCGGGCGCAGCCAATCCACCGTTACCCCAGCGGTGACCTTGACCCGCATCGTCTGTCTCGGCTCCAAAGCCAAACCGGCGTGGAATTAGGAGCGTTCGAGCACTCATGGTCCAGCGCAATTCTCCACCTAAATCCATTCCTGATACACATTTGCTTGCTCATAGTCATGTAACCCCGGTAAATTCACCCAACTTTCATATTGGTCGCTCCATAGACAGATGGCCACAGAGATCAACTTAAAAGGCCATTGTTGCATTCATTTAGTGGAGATCATTAAAGAGCCGTGACAGGCCACAAGTCGCGTGACATCATACGTGTAACGACCAATGACGTCGGCCTGCAAAACCCAATGGAAGCGGCTAGCAGCGTGCAATAAAACAGGGCGCTGCTTTCTAAATGTCTGTCGTGCGCCATAAATGAATATATTCTTTGTAGCCTGGCAACTCAGTATCTTTTTTTAACTATTGTACTAGTATTTAATAATTTCATAATTTTATAACTGTGCTTACGCTTTATGTTGATATTAGTGATAAATCCTTAGATAAAGTAAATCGATGTGATATTTAATAGAAAAATAGCAAACTAACGCACCATTCATTCGAAAGCTGGGGAACCTACTAAAAAGAACTACTAAAATTCCTGAGGAACCAAAGGATCAAATGGGGATTAAATAGATGCCTGCTATTCCGTCGTGAAAACGGCCACTATGTTCATATTAATAGTCACCGTGATTATTTGTTTGTGTTTTTCATTATTAGGCTGCGTTGAGTATGAAAGATGAAATTCCTACTTCACCCTTATTTAGGGTTTGAAAAAGCTGAGGATGAAGATGGTGAAACGCCAGAAGTTAGAATAAAGATATGGAGTCCAGCAGGAGTGAGGAAACCGTGAGGAAAACTAAAAATTGGGTGAAACGCTGAATCAAACGCGTCTTGGATCCCAGCTGGAATAATATCAAATGTTTCATTGTGGCACGTTAAGATGCTTCACGCATTTAAATTGTTCGTTTTTTTTGCGTGCATTATGCAGAAATAATGATTATTCCGACCATGTTCTGCAGCAATAAATACATTGGCATTGGAACGATAACCTTGTTTAGTTGAATTACGTTGACAGCAAAAGTATGTAAACACGCAGTCACTTACTTTTGCTGTTGCTGTTAGTGAACACACAATCCGTAAATATCTTCTTTGAAATTGGTTCTTCCGCTCAGAATATTCAGTAAAACTTTGTCTGGGAAAATCAAAAAGCCCAAGGGCCGAATCGTTTCCCAAATACCTTCAACATTAGCCGAGGCGGGCCGAAGCCATTTCCCAAATGCACGTGCTAATGTTAAAGGGATATCTCGGCATGTGGTAAATGTACTACTTACAATTTGAAACGTTGTAAAATGTTAGACCTTGAATAGCTGCTTATGTTTCACCTACATATGTCGATTATTAGCATTGTTGATCAATTAGAAAGATGCTAAGGTCATTATGTCGATACTGTCAATTGCTCAATGATTTAGACATATGAACCACATTGCAATGCAATACAAGCACACGTGTCATTCAGCCATAAACAAACTGGCCAGAGTCGGCCCGCTGGGACAGTTACGTATGGATGTTAGGCCACCTGGTAGTCTGTGACAGACAGCCCTCACAGCCCGGGCCGTAACTCAGCGCTCCCGGCTGGACACGCGCGCCACTGACCAAACGGCACAGGGCAATGGTGCGTGCGTAACGACAAACAATCAGCGATCGACAGGACATCTGTTACACCAGGGGTCGGCAAATGGTGGGGCATGCCCCCTTTGGGGGTAATGGAGCCCTTTCGGTGGGGGTAATGAGGGATTCTGAGAAAGCCTATCTTTTTTGAGTTTGTAGCTCCAGTGATGGAGCCATCGTGACTGTTGCATCCCAGGATTCAAAGATTAGCCCAGGCCAAAGGCACAGCACACTGACACATTGATTAGATACCATTTTGCACGTACCTGCTCGCCTCACCATCTCACCCCTCCGTACAGTGGTACAAAAGCAGTTGCAACTTTTAACCGTCGCCGTCTGCTGGCGTTTCAACAGCCGCTAACGTAAGGGGGAGGAGTCGATCGGACCCCCGCGGCCTCTCGGACCCTGAGATGGAGCTGTGCATAAAAAAGACGAGCGTGCTACCCGTGACAATAGGAAGCCGCTGCTGCCCATTTTTAAGATCCTTGGTCATTCCGTCTCATTCAAGGGGGCAATAATAAGTGTCGAGAAAATCGGGACCCGCTATAACTTCTTGAAGTGAGATTTTATGGCTCAAGATGATCTCCAGAAAAAGCTCATAAGCCAAATTATGGGTCCAGAGGCCAGTTTTACCAACAGAAAGATAGCCGCCTGCCGGAATTTTTTGCCTAAAGATCGTTTCACATATGGAGCGTAAACGGTAAAGCCCTATCCGCTTACGTGCCCATCGCGTTTACGCTCCGTATGTGAAGCGGTCTTGAGGCAAAAATTCCGGCAGGGGTCTTAGCAAAAACACAAGCCGCGACGGGCCAGATGAGGGCCATATTGGTTACGCAGTTCATCATTTGCAATGCTATGTGTAGTCTGCCTACGATTCCTCTCACCTATGTCGATGTGCTGGCTGTGGCGGCCCGCGTGTGGCCCTCCCTATCGCCCCTGTCCCTCCCCTCTCGACCCGCTGAGACCCGCCGGCCGCAGCGGAAGGCCGAGTCGTCCCTCCGCGTCTTTCATTAGATCCATTATCATTAGTGGCGCGGGCGGCGGATGGGCCGGTCGTTATACCGCGCCGGCCCACCCGCCGGTAGTCCGCAAAGCCCGCCGGCCGGTCACATCGGCTCGCGTGGGTCAGCCGCCTTACATCGGACTGAGAGGCGCTGAAAACCCCGACAAAGCGACCGATCTGCAGTATGGTAGGAAGCAATACTTGAACTAGATCGGCTGGGGAACCTGGATCGGTCGTCATCTTAGTGACGGTTTTTGATATTCGACCATGAGATGTGCTGGCCGAGCCGAGTGTCGGGTGTGCTCCAGGTCGCACAGACGCTCGTTTGCTGGTTGGAGTCATAGTGTTAGCTACACTGTTGTGTTCGATGTTCACGTTTCAGTCCTGAACACATGCACACGCTGGTGGTACTCAAATGAGCCGAGCTGGTTCCGCTGATTGCGGTGCGCCGTTACAATGACACGTCTAATAAAGCAGATATTTGCGGTTACCTAATCACCGCCGGACGGCCGTTGAGGTCGCGTGCTTGCCGCCCACTGCTGCCGCCAGCGTGCCCCGGTCTCACGCGGGGCTGGGTCGAGACGCCGCCGGCAGGACGGGAAGGGGAGGCGGCAGCGGCAGTGGTAGCGACAGCGGTCTGTGTAGAGAAGGATCACTAACATACGATTCGCCTGTTGGGACCAGACAGGCGCGGATACAAGGGGGGCCATGGGGGCCATGCCCCCCCCTTGGCCGATTTTTTTCAAAAATAAAATAAAAAGTTAAAAAGTTAAAAAGCTGAAAAGGGGGCCTCCTGAAAATAAAGTGGCCGAAATCCGATGAGTTTTTTTTTTAACCTACCCACTTAGTTATTTCTTAGAAGACTCGCTGAGAAGACTTCTTTGTTAGAAGATTGGTAAAGCTTTTCATAACTTGGAGGTCTCTTATACTCACAGAGATGACCACTTTTACAGGGCCTCCTAACCTGCACAGAGGGCCTCCAAGCCTGCACAGATGTTGAGATGTTGCCTGAACAGCTAGATAAGCTCAATAGACGCAGTTTTTTTTTGGGGGGGGGGGGCCAACAAGTGGGAAGATGGGGCCTCCAACAGGTGGGATTATGGGGGGGGGCCTCCTGGTTTCTAATGGCCCCTCCCTTGGAGATTTTCTGGATCCGCCCCTGGGACCAGATAGGTATGTTCCGCACCTACCGTCTTAATTGGTGTACAGGCTACCATTTTGCTAGAAGCCGCAAGTCTTTCACTCAGTGCATGCGTAAGTACGCTTGCTTTATTCTGCATTAATTCGTTTCCAACCTTGAAACCAGCTATCGAGGTGCTCGTTTTCGGAGGCATGCAGATTTACTCGCTTTATGTTGTCGGTAGCTTCTGAACCAGTTAATCATAGAAGAGTGAGGGATGTTCCAGGTATCTCAACCAATCACAAGGTTTTCACTTTCGAACTTCGCGTGACAGTCACTTGATGAAAACGGAGAAGGAACATACATAGCCGACGAAAGGGAAGTTCATTGCTTGAAACGGGAGCGCATACAGCGCTATAACGCTGCAGAGTCTGGCTTTAATCTAATTACATGAATTGATGTACAAAATGTTTACATGGAATCATGGCGGGACCTCAATGCGAGGGCCACGTATTGGCTGCATCGTGGGCATTACACGATGCAGCCTTGTTCTCTTTCGTATCTACCACTGGTTTTCAGCTACGCAAAAGGAAGCAATTACTCCTCCATTCACATTACGACTCGCTTGACACTCGTCCACTCATGGCCTCCGTCCATTTATGGCACCACCGTCTCCCTCGCCCCGATCTCATTATCTTAATTCCTACATCCAAGGCATGTCAGGCGTCCAGGACCTTCTGATCTCATTACCCATCCCTGTCGTCGTGCCCGGGACGACCCTGCAGGTGACCGACCTTCGGACGCCGATGATTGAGCGACTCCAGTGTCGGATCGGCCCCGCGCCGAACCCTGACACGGTTTGGGAGCTCCGTGTTCATAGACGCTCGAGGGTGTGACGAATTTACGCTGATGAATTGGTCGACAGTATAAACAGGGTGTTTCCGAAATAACGCTCCGACGTAAATTGACCGCTGAATATCGTGAGGCCGGCGCTTTCATAATGTGCCTCATTGATGAAATGAGCGAGGAACATGCTCCGATGCCCCGAGATTAGTGTTGAAACTCGAAAGTGTTGAAATGTGCAGATGATGAATGGTGTTCTCTGGTTTAGACGAGACAACTTTCGCTTGTTTAGAAGGAAGAGGGTCCAGTCACGGGATAGCGCTATCAGCTGTAATGGACCGGTTATTATGGGGACTGAGCAATGGGCATTATTGCTACCCTGCTGCTGGTTGATATCGGACGGACTCGGAACATTCAAACGTATATTTCAATTTAATTCAACACATTCTTTTACAACAAACATGTTGCCAGCCTTTATTACATGAACCATGTGAATCAACATGCTTCTTTGCAACGTTTAAGCTGAAATGCCAAGGGGGAACTCAAGACAATACACCTATTTGACATCGATTACGACATTTAAATGAGGTCTTGTAATTGATGCATCGGTGCCTCTCATTAGCATAAATGACATAGCATAGCGTTGTGCTCATAACTTGGTAGACTTCATACTATTCTGGTTTGCTCAAACCACCAAAAAAGATTAAGGAAGGTGTTTGGCGTTGCGCTCCTCAACCAATGACTGACCCTTTATATGTCCCTTTATGTTTCAGTGTTGAAGTGTTCCCAGCTGCGTGGGATCTAAAGCGGACTTGAAGGAAATCATCACCGTCAGCAGGATATTGTTGTCTCCGTCTCCCGTCTCCGTCTCCGTCTTTCCGTCTCCGTCGCCGGCCGTCGTCACGCCACGTCTCTGTGTGTTTGGACTGCGGTGGAGGCGGGCCGCCCGACCCATCAGTGAACAGTGAGGGTGACGGTGTGATCGACACGCGGCAGACGGCGGGCGGCCCCCACCGCGCCCGCGCGCTGGACACTGAGCCGAGCGGAGACTCGCTCCGTCACTGTGCGCCCACCCGCTCTGCGGGTCTCGGCAGGGCAGGATGCCGGCCTAGCCTGGCCCTAGGCGCAATATGGGAGCCGGCAACGGACGTCCTCTCACAGATACCGAAGGTAAGCGCTACCCATTTTAGATTAGTAGGGGACAGGGGCTAGTTGTAAGTCGGAGTCAAACCTGTTTTTTTTTTACTACAGAGAACAAAGTATTTGCTGTACAATTTCAATATAAGTGGGAATGAACAGCAAACACTATCAGTGGTTTGATACGATTTCATTACGCAACTGACCGGCTGCTGACCGTTACTATACCAAGAAGGTTGCACGGCCGGTTTTCCTTTGAGTCAGCCTGCCAGCCCACCATGAGCCAGTTAACGCTGTGTGGGTCAGACAATGCCACAGCGCGCTCAGTGGGACCGTTTCATCGCTCAGTGCATGGGCTGGCCGCGCTGCTATTTATTCCAGAGGTCAGCGCGCCCCGCCCTGCCGGCTGGCCGGGCACGGCTGGCCGGGCGGTGCGGCGCCGGGGCCGGACGTTTGGCCGGGTGCGTGCGGGTGGGACCTCATCACCATAGGCCGAGTCGGACGGTGGTGGTTCAGCACGGCGCCGATGGCCGATACGGCCAATGTGACGCGCACCGTGGCGGCTAACGTGGCGCCGATGCGCCGATACCGCCGGCTAACGGTGCTCCGCTGCCGGCCGCGGCCGGCGCAGGGGCGGGTGGTCCCACGGAGAGCTGTGAGCCGATTCTGCGAGCCAGGGGCGCGTGGGCTGTAAAGAGCGCGAGCGTGACTGTCTCGCAGTGGGACAGAGCCGGCGCGGGGCAGAGCGGGAGGCTGACCTATAAGGAGGGAAACTCGCGCCGTGAGTCGCCGCCCCTGGCCCGAGCCGCGGCAGGGATTCAGTCGGGATTTTGTGGTCGACGGTGACCGCCTGATCGGTCGTCTGTCGGAGATAGTTTCTGTCTGCCGCCCGAACCGCAAACGATCCGTCACGCTCGAACCATTACCAGCGAAACTTTTCGTCGTTCTGAATTATTCGCTGATTATGAAAAATTGAGCGTCTCACGTTAACGGTACGGCTGTGCTGCTTCCAGATGACTGGCAAAACAGCATCTTTCGCGGCATTCGCTTACGATTAGGGGAAGTTGGGGGAACGCCGAATACTTTTTTTCCGACGCCCGTAGCATGCAAGGTAGACAACATAAGCTATTCTTGTTGGCGTCATTCGAGAGGCCAGTCTTTTGCCTTTCAAACATACCAGGCGCATTTGATGAATTCGCATACCGTTAAGCGCACAAACTAAAAATGTCAAAGACGTGACTTTTTCGGCGTTGCCCCGGACTGCGGGAAAGCCGAAAATGGGAGAAATGATCCACGGGGAATGCTGAAATTGATGTTTTGCCATTTTATCTCAAACTTTATCCAGAATTCATCAAAGCTGACAATTTTTTATTAGTTTGAGGACGCTTGGTGCACACCGGAAGTTATAATTGTGTGATATAATAAGAAAAGGCCAGGTAAATCATTCCTTATAGGAAACAGGCCGATGTGTCGGTTGAAAGTGTAATATGTGTGACTAAAAATATGCGTTGCTATTCTACAGCAGTAAAGTCCACGTAGCGTGCTTTAACGTGCGTAATTGCACGTTTTCGGCATTACCCCAGCCAGCCATACTTTCATTTGCAGGCCCATAACTTTTCAACGTGCTGCATGAATTTCAAATAGGCAGCACACTTATGCAAAGACATGCTGAAGATTACTTGACCGAATTGGCCAGACAAACGGTAGCATAATGAGTAAGAAATGCTGCTTGAAAGGCGCATGTAGTACAAGGAAAACGTACCTTGAAAACGCTCTTGGCGCCCTCACAGCCGAAGTATTCCGAATGACGACTCGTAACAAACATGCGATAATTGGTAGTCACTTAAGCTTCAGAGCATCACTGACAGGTGGCACCCATGTCGTACAGTTTTCGAAATATCTCGAATTTCGGCTTTGCCCCAACTCCGGCATTGCCCCAACTTCCCCTAGTGGTCGTCCAACTGACCTGATTATCTTACCGAGTCGATATTCATGGTGTTGACGGGAGCAGTCTTGAAATGGAATACCGCGGTACAGGATATGCAGTTCTTTCTAAATTCGGGTCATTTCTTGTTCATTTTTCATGACACTAAGTATGACAGAAAAATTCGTTGGGGAAGATGTGCCAGCAGTGCTGCAGCGATTCGCAAGCAAAAGGCGTATGTAATGTTCGTTGAAAACTCAAACTAATCATATACTGTGATGGGTTTGCATCTCCACTAGGTTGGCACCTCATCGGCCGGTGCCGGCTGCTCCGTTCGCCTGGCCCGGGCCGCGGGGCATGACCACGGATCACGTGATCGCCTGAGGCCCGGCGCCGGCGGCTGGGGCTGCCGGCGGGCCGGCTGGGAGTCTGGCGGGAACCGGGACGGCGCGCGGAGCGGGGAGTTCCGCGCTGAGTTGTGATTGCGACCTCGTCGGCACCGGGTGGTGACGGAGTTGTTACCGACAATATATTCAGAGTTTGTGCACTTTGTCGTTTTGGCCAGACCAGCACATGGCGCGGTCGGTGGTCATTAACGTAAACCTGCAGTAAAATAACGTAACGCTGAAAATGCCTGACGAGCGTCAAGAACTGGAGGTGGCACAGGAGGCGGCGGTGGCTGGAGCCGTTCAGCCTGCGACGACAGCGGCGGCCGGGACGCAACAGAACAACACATCGTGGCTGGGAAGAGCCGCGCAGCCGGACCGTCTGGATCTGTCGACGGATCGGGGCGACGCGTTCCGCTCCTGGAAGGAGAGATGGGACGACTTTTACCTCCTCGCCGGCATCGCCAGCATGCAGCCGAACGCTCAGATGGCCGCCCTCCGATCGTGTCTGACGGACGACACGAACCGCGTCGTTCGGAACTTGCCCCTGACTCCAGAGGAACGACAGGACGTCAACGCTGTGCTGGCACAGCTAGAGACGTACGCCATTGGCCAGGTGAATGAGGTCCTTGAGCGAAAGCGGTTCAACAGCAGAGTTCAGGGTGAGGGGGAGACCTTTGATGATTTTCTTACATGTCTCCGTGACTTGTCTCGATCTTGTAAATTTTGCTCGTCGTGCAATGAATCACTGATACGGGATCGTATTGTTATTGGTCTGAGGTCGGCAGAGACCGTCCAAAAGCTCTGTGCCATCCCCAAACTCTCTCTGTCCGCCGCTATATCTCTCTGCAGGTCGGAGGAGGCAGCGTACCGAGACGCCTCGAGGATCCGAGGGCCCGACGCCACCGTCGCTCGCGTGGACCGCGACGCGACCTTCGACCAGGGCCAGCCAAGAGGTCATCACGATCTCTCCCCACCGGCGGCGTGTCGCGTGTGCGGCCCGCAGCAGGTCCATGACCGGCGGCCCGGTCCCGCAGCTCAGCCCTCGACGGGGCGACCGTCACAGCGGCAGTCTGCCCCGGCGACTCCTGGGGGCGACCGCTGCGCCAGCTGCGGGTACGTCCACCGGCGCGGTAACGACTGTCCCGCCCGGGGCCGGGAGTGCCGCGCATGCGGGAGGGTCGGCCACTTTGCCAGCGTCTGCCGATCGACGCAGGTGAGGCCGTTCCCGGGCTCACAAGTCCAGGGCGGGCCGCCGTGGCCCTCAACCTCTGCGATCATCGCGTCTACCGCTGCCGAGGGAGCCCCGAGGGTGTCTGTCCGGGTGGAGGCAGGGAACCGGAGAGTGACCGTGGACGCCCTCCCTGACACCGGGGCTGACCTGTCGGTGGGCGGCGAGGACCTCTTGGCACAGCTGGGGGCGTCCCGGGAGGATCTCCGCCGACCAGTGCACCACCCGCGCGCGGCCAATGGGAGCGTCATCCCGTCGGTGGGGATTCTGCCGGTCACCATCGCACTGGGGGACATCCAAGCAGAGGAGGAGGTACACATTCTGCCGGGAGTCAGAGGACTTCTACTGTCCTGGGAGGTCACGAGGACCCTGAAGCTCATCCCAGCAGACTACCCCCGGCAGATCGCGGCGGTAGGGAAGCCGGAGTCCACCACTGCCGCTACCGCAGAGCGCCGCCTGAGCTCGGGTCCCGATCCGACCGCTGGAGTCGGCCACTGCACGCCAACGGCCAACCCCAGCACGACGGCCGACCTGGCGGGCCCGCTGACGCCGCCTCCTGCTGGAGGGTTAGAGAACGCCCAGGACCCAACCAGCATTCAGAGACCTGCCGGGAGCGACCACTCACCAGAGTCACGTGAGTACACTGACCGATATCGGCTGATGTCGGAGTTCGAACGAGTGTTTGATGGCCACATTCGCACGATGCCAGGGGAAAAGTTTACCATTCACCTCCAACAGGATGCCCGGCCGTTCTGCGTGACGACCCCTCGGCGCATCCCGCTGTCCCTACGGGAACCACTGAAGGCAGAACTTGATCGACTGGAGGCAGAGGGAGTCATCTGCCGAGTCACTGCTCCCACCGAATGGTGTGCCCCCATCGTAGTAACGCCCAAGAAGGGAGGCGCAGGTGTGCGGCTATGCGTGGACCTATCTCAGCTAAACAAGTTTGTTCGGCGGGAGCGGTACCAGTCGCCCACACCGATCGAAGAAGTCGCCTCCATCCGTTCGTCTGAGGCGCGTTGGTTCACCGTATTCGACGCCCTGAAAGGGTACCATCAGTGCCCTCTGGCTGAGGACAGCAGACTCTTGACCACCTTCATCACCCCCTTCGGACGCTTCGCGTTTCTCAGGGCCCCGTACGGAGTGACCTCTATATCCGAGCACTACAACCGCAGAATGGATGAGGCGTTTGAGGGACTGACCGGCTTCAGAAAAGTGGTGGATGACGTGATCATCTTCAGCCGCACCAGATCGGAGCATCTTCAGCACGTGCGGCAGTTCCTGCAGCGTTGCCAGGATCGGGGAGTCTCTCTCAACGCCAGCAAGCTGCAGCTGGCACAGCAGACTGTCAAGTTTGCTGGATTCATCGTGTCCGGGGACGGCTACCGACCAGACCCGCAGCTCACTGAAGCCCTCTCACAGTTCCCGACACCCAGCAACTTGACTGAGGTCAGGAGCTTCTTCGGGCTCGTCAACCAGGTGGCTTACTTCGTGGACGACGTAGCCGAACTGCTGACGCCCCTCCGCAGCCTCCTCAGCTCACGGCGCGAGTTCATCTGGGACGAGAACCATCAGCTGGCATTCGACAAGGCCAAGGCCGCCCTGACTTCTCTTCCAACTCTCGCCTTCTACGACCCGAAGCTACCAACCCGGCTGGAGACGGACGCCAGCCGAGCGCGGGGGCTAGGGTTCGTCCTTCGTCAGGCTCATCCCGACGGCACCTGGCGCGTGATTCAAGCAGGGTCACGCTTCCTGAGCGATGCCGAGACAAGGTACGCAGTAATAGAGCTGGAGGCCTTGAGTGTGGCATGGGCGGTGCGGAAGTGTCATATCTTCCTCAGCGGGCTGCCGTTGTTCCAGATTCTGACTGACCATCGCCCTCTCGTTCCGATACTCAACAGCAAGATGATGGACGAGATCGAAAACCCACGCCTTCAGAGACTTCGGATGAAGATCGGTGAAGCTGGCGTCTTCACCGCCAGCTGGCGGGCTGGAGCTGAACATGTCGCGCCGGACGCTCTCTCCCGAGCACCGGTCCAGGATCCTGAGCCGGGGGACGAGGTTGGTGAGGACGCCGCATCGCTCCGGGTGTGCGCGGTCGTAGTCGCAGAGCTGCACGCGTCAGGCACCGACGTCAGGCTGGACGAGGTACGCCGCGCTGCCCTGTATGACCCCGAGTATCAGTCATTGAAACGCACTATTGAAGAAGGGTTCCCCCAGACCAAGAATGACACACCAGAATCTATCCGCAGATATTGGACTGTTCGTGACCGACTGTCTGTCGATGACGGACTCGTGGTATGTGGGTGCAGGCTGGTTATCCCACAGGAGCTGCGCAAGGCTGTCCTAGCTGCCCTCCACGACGGACACCTGGGCAAGGAGAGGACGAAGAGCCGAGCTCGTCAGGTCGTCTACTGGCCCGGAATGGACGCCGATGTCGAGAACGTGACACGAAGCTGTCGGAACTGCCAGGCCCAGCTCCCGTCACAGCAGCGAGAGACCGTCCTACACCACCAGCCTACACAGCGACCGTTCCAGTCACTTGATCTTGACTTTGCAGAACACGCTGGGCGTAAGTACCTGATTGCTGTAGACGGATTTTCGGGGTGGCGCTTCATCAAGTTGCTGGGGAACTGTGCACAGGCTAAACAGCTGATGTCAGCAATGCGTGAGATCTTTTGTCAAGTGGGTGTACCTCAATGGATCATGTCAGACGGAGGGCCCCAGTTCGCATCCAAGGCGTTCCAAGACTTTCTGTGTCGGTGGGGTGTGGAGCATAGACGGTCATCTCCCCACTACCCCCAATCTAACGGGAGGGCGGAGGCAGCGGTGAAGGCCGCCAAGAAACTGATCCGGTGCTGTTGGGATGATTGCAGGAATCAACTGGACGAGGAACGGTGGACAAGAGGAATTCTACAGCACCGCAACACCCCCGGGAGAGGAGGAAGGTCGCCAGCACAGATCGTCTTCGGACATCCAGTGAGAGACACGCTGCCTGCTCATCGGCGGAGCTTCGCCCCCGAGTGGCAGATCGCTGCCGATGCGGCCGCTGGCCGCCTGTCGGAGCAACAGCAGCGCGCGGACGACCTCTATAACCGGCAGGCTCGGGACCTGGAGCCACTGGCCGTCGGTAACCAGGTGTCTGTCCAGGACGACCGCACCGGGCGGTGGGACCGTTACGGTGTCGTGTGTGAGGTTGGGCCCCATCGGAGGTATTTTGTGCGGTTGTCCAGCGGGCGTGTGCTGACGCGAAATCGTAGGCATCTGCGGCGTCGTTATGGCCATGCCATCCCTGACGAACTGGCTCAGTGCGTGCCACCGGTGGTGAGCCGGCCGCCGCCGGTGCTCCAGCAGAGGGAGCCTGCGGCCGCGGCGCCGTCGGCCCCACTCGGGTTGAGACGATCCACGCGTGTGAGAAGGCGCGTGAAACGGTTAATCGAGGAAATGTGAGCAGATGTGACTGTGGGGGAGGGGGAGATGTGATGGGTTTGCATCTCCACTAGGTTGGCACCTCATCGGCCGGTGCCGGCTGCTCCGTTCGCCTGGCCCGGGCCGCGGGGCATGACCACGGATCACGTGATCGCCTGAGGCCCGGCGCCGGCGGCTGGGGCTGCCGGCGGGCCGGCTGGGAGTCTGGCGGGAACCGGGACGGCGCGCGGAGCGGGGAGTTCCGCGCTGAGTTGTGATTGCGACCTCGTCGGCACCGGGTGGTGACGGAGTTGTTACCGACAATATATTCAGAGTTTGTGCACTTTGTCGTTTTGGCCAGACCAGCACATATACCACTTTATTTAGGCTACAACTACTTCTTTCGTAGCCTCGTCACTTTCCACTAAATACACATTCACAACCACATCGCAATAGAGATATGCCAGTTTGTGATGCAGCCACGCCACTTTACAGTGGAATTCACGTCATCGCAGTCCTCGCATGTCGTGCTTCTGGTGTGTAGCCTGTGCCTATCACCATTCTACAACAGGTGTCCTGTGGGATTGGCTGTACCTACTTCCGTTGCCTTTTTTTGCATAATCATTTAAACATTGTGTCGCTCCCACACGTGTACTGAAATACTTGGTAAGTTTCTGGGTGAACTGAGCCTTGGTCCCCTCCGAGCCCCACTGGCCAGCGGTCACTGCTCGATATCGTGTCTCAACACCGATTTCGACAATATCTCGAGAGCCAGAGACCATGCCGAGGACCTCGGATCAGTCTCTGGCAGAGAGGAGCAGACGGGACGCGATCAGGCGCGGACGCTGCGCGCGGCTGGCAACTCCGTCCCTACACTACACGGTCCAGGCGTCGGCGCGCCGCCCGGGCCGGTGGAATTGTTTGGGATTAGTCGACGGCGGCGCGGCGGTACAGATCTGATGGCCTTGGTGTCGACTGACGTCAGCTGCCGAGCGAGCGAGACATGCCGCTCTGATGTGCTCCGAGATAGACGAACATGTAGATACACAGGTAAACTGTTACGGCGATACACAAAGGGACAGGTGATAGAACGGCTGATACGCACATACGCCGGTACAGAGATCACTTGTAAGTGAACTCTCGCTAATGGTGTTGACTCACTTGTATGTAGAGGAAGGCGAGGAAGGATATTATTATAAGAGTAAGCTGTCACGGTCATGCATTGCTTAGCTCTCATTTATAGTCGTAGTCTGCATTAGTTGTCTTATTTCCAATGGCTAGACTGAGCCCGATCATTCCTGGTTGCCTATCATGGGCACCGGATGATTGTTATGCAATTATGCATATTCGATCTTGGAGAGACGGAAAAGCCGAACGAAACTCAAGACAAAATATAATTGACAACAAAACGTTTTTTATAGAAGAAATTGATTACGCTGTGGTGAGGTTCTGACCAAGTGTTGCAGAATGGTCGTAGGAGAGGCTCTTTATATAGCTTCACGAACAATACCAAACGTAAGGAAATATTCCAATTGCTTTTTGATTAGTCACTTTACACCACCGATCATTTGCGGCATCAATGATGAAGAAGGCGAGCAAAGTCAATATTTTATCAGCGCCTCAGTCAGTATAAGACTCTGTCAAGGTCTCTCTGTAATCTGTGACAGATGCATTAACTAGATTTGTGGTCGTCGCGTTGGAGCCTGATGGATCAGCTTCTTGATTGAATGGCATAATAAATCATCAGTTGAAGTGTCACATTAGCAGAGTTAAATCACTTGCACAAAACGGCGTAATGAGATATGCCATCAGCTTTCCATCGCATGTGCTCAGCGCTGTGATCGTTTTGCCTGCCTGTCTGTCAGCTACAGCACTATCCTCGATCCCCCTTCACAGCAATCCGTGTGTTTCAGCCACACACCTCTGTGCTCGTCACCACTAGCACGCACACAGTCGGTGCGCCTCACTCTGCGCGCCTCGGTTGCAGGCAGAGCCCCGGGCGCCGGCCAGTCTCAGGACTCGGACATCAGTCTGAGCGTCATCAGCACTGACTGCACCGACTTCTCGGCGTCGCCCCCGCGCAGCAGACGGGACCCGTCCCGGCAGCAGTCGCCGCTTGGCGCCGGACCAGGGCCGCGCATCGCCGCGCTGCCCTCACTGCACGACATCGTCGAAGGTGAGTGCCGACAGCTAGGGACTTTTCAGCGGGTTCTGGTGCAAGAACTTGGGTTTTGTTCGTGATTTGGTTGTTTTAGTCGTTAAAAGTAGTCACGCATAGTTATGACGTCAATTTTATTTGTGATGAAAAGGTCTGTTTTAAATCAGCTTTGATCGCATTTTATGGGTATCAGTGTTACACTTACGGGTGCCAGTTTCTTAGCAATATTTCTCTTTCTTGCGAAAACTCGCAATTTTCTTAGAACTTGGAATTTCCCACAAAATCATGTGTACCATGAAAGCAATCAAACAAAAACTGCTGCGAAAATGGACAAATACTCAACAAATTCAATATTGCCTAGCATCCGGCCTCATTTATCTATGCCCTAACTCGGTCATCATTCAGGAACATTTATTACTTTGTGTGCCCTTATCAGATATGCCCGCATTTCTGATAACCAAAGCTATCTTATACTGAATGTTTTACACACGGGGCTTAAGATTTGCATTATGGTGTCATCCATGCGGAGTACCTATGCACTTACCTACCGTCAACGGCCTTGAGCCCATCAACTTCGATCTCGTCTGAACTGATATGAAATGTTTCTTGCAGCTTCAATTCGATGAATCTATTGCTTCTACACCGTGTTTCTTTTTCGTTCTCAGCTGATCGCCGAGATATTCAGTTCAGTTATCATTAATTAGCGCTTTATAATTTTTTCTCTTCTAGGCTGCTCTTTTGTTTTTAAATAGCTTATCAATCATCGCGTCGCTAAGCCCAGAGCTGATGAACTTTGACAAAGTAAAGTACAGTGAGACTAGATGATATAAGAAAAGGTTACTGCGATTCTAAGGTCGTATTTTGTTAACGAACAATAACTAAACAATTGAACATACCTATTCGTGTTTGGGGAAATAAATCAATAGACAATGAAAAAGAAGTAGAAGTGAAGCATCTAATGTATGATCACACTTGTACTCCTGTCATGTTTCTTTCCTCTTATTGTCGTTATCGTGTATCGCTTATTTAATGCGTGCAAACTAAAAATGTTTCATTTGCAATGCCTCCAGAGAGCGATTGCTGCTGATTTTGGTGTCAGCGTGCGCCGCTGACCGGGCCTGTTTATGCACATATTTGAGAGGCACATGTTGGGGGTGTTGTTAGGTGCCGTGTCGCCGGTAACTTGCCCTGTCCGCTGCGCGTGTGAGCCCAGTGACGGATGTCTTGTTGTCGCAGCGGCGGCCCCTCCCGCGCCTGTCCGTTCGTTATGCGCTCTCCATAATCGGCGCCGTCTCCGAGCGACCGACACAGACGGGACATGTCACCACTCCGCCGAAACGCCACGCCGCCGATCCGGTTGCATCAGCTGCGAATTGTGATGGACACCTTTCGCCCTAGTACTCGTGGAGCGTCCACTCGGCCGAATGCCTTTTAGCATGCGTCAGAAGGGGACCTCCGCCTCATATGCATTTGCATTCATGCATGTACGGAATCAGCCGTGCACCGACGGCGCACCCTTGTTTGCATATCGGGTGCGAGTTACACGAGCTCGCACTCCTGCCAACGCCTGTCGGTGTTGTTTTCACGATCTGTTTCGGCCCAGGCTCGGCGGGGACGGCACGGCGCGGCCGCCGCCCGCGGCCCGGACGCGCCGGTGCATCGCGCCCGTATAAACTCAATTATACAGCGCGCGGCCACCACCCAGTCCTTGAGAGGCCGGCCGGCCGGCCGGTCGGAGGAGCGGCACCGGCAGCTGCCGGCCGGCCTGCAGCCGCGGCCGCCGCAGCTCGCCGCACCCCGCAGCCGGGCCGGCGAACAAAGAGCCGCAGTCGGCCGCCGGGCCGGGCCGACCGGCCGGCCGACTGCCGCCATCTACACGGGCCCGCTCCAAGCTCGAGTGCCACATCGGACGGAGCCCGGGCCGACGCGGCGCCGACCCGTGCCGACCCGGCTGCACGGCAAGGCCCGTACCGGCTCACGGAACCCTTTCACACGCGGGAAGCTTGGTCCGGCCGGAAAACCGCACGGGCAGGGGTGGCCGGCGGGACCAACAGCTCCTCGGTATCCGCAACCTCTCTCACGACGATCTTATCCCGGCGAGACGGGGAAACTGGGGTCAACACTAGGTATGCCAGGCGTTACAAAGATTGATCAGAAACGAGGGCACACTTGATTCAGTCGAAAGTCTCTTTTCCTAGTGTACAGTCATGCGGGCTGCTATGGCAAATTTGCCTGTTACGGATATGACAAACTCGTAGCGAATGACCAGCTTAATCACCACTTTACACGGGAGTTATATCCGTATTTCGATAAAATGCACTACATTGGTTTGGCCTATGCTCATATGATTCTTACAATTTGAGTGGTGCATGATGTTTTTTTTTTAATGCTATCACAATACATTACCAAGCCTGCCTTATTCCCTAATTTTCCGTTTATATTTGTCAGAATCAAAAACTTTTTAATTAGTGAGGGTCTTCAATCTTCATGCTTCTGTTATTTTTAACGGAATGTCATACAGTTTTAAGCTCCGTCTCCCAACTGTCACTCAGGTTCAGACTACTGTTCCACGACCGTAACCCGGGTTTTGACTGTTGTCCCACGACTGTCACTCTTTTGTTTACTCTTGTCCCTTGACTCCGTTTCTGACTCGTGGCTCCTGACGGGCACTCCGTTTTTTTTTTTTGACGCGTGGCTCCCGACTGTCGCTCTAATTTTTACTCTCTCCCTCGACTGTTGCTCTATGAGTATCTAATCCGCCTTATGGCAGTCCTATGATTAATCAGTCCAAACAGTTTCAGACATTTTTAGAGACATATTTTTGAACAGTTGCACGCAGTGGTTAAGGTAGGCAGCGTTGGTAGCATATCCGTCTATTCCCGAGTGTGAGCTGAAGAGAGGCTGTGATTAAGAAGGAATATGAGGATGGCAGAATATGGAGTGCTGAAGAATCGGAATAGTCAGTGACTATCGGTACTGGAGTTATAACGAAGCTCGTGGCCTTATAGCTGCGTTGCAAGCGAATGGTCATTGTTATGATGCAGCCTAGAGCCGATATTTTGCCGACTTAGCGATGCAGACATCACGTGCCGAAGCTCACTAACGACATTCGAATGAGCATGGGTGTGCGATGCGCCGGTGCCTTTGTGTTCACCGAAGTAGCTGCGCTGACCGTTACTCGCGGGTTTCGACCCCTGACTCGCGTGCTGGCCGGGTGTAGCACGGGGCTTAGCTCTCTTCTTTGGGTCAAATGAGGTTACCCGTTACCGGTACCGCACACTGACGGACCGAGCTCTGAAAACCGACAACACAACAATGCTCTCTGTGGGATCATCTCAGACTCTTTGTCTTTGTCTTACTTGTGGTTCTATACGTTTCGTTGGGGAGCAACTTCAATTTAAGCATTTCCGAGAGGAATTGAGCCATAAATGATTTCGATTTTGTGTATATGCATATTAGCCGATTGAATTGAAACTTACAGCTTCAATGATCTTGCACCTAGGACGAATTGGATGCATATCTATCATGGGATGATATGTATGCATGTAGTTGTGTGCATATGTTTGTGTCTTCACCAAAAGCATGTCCGTTGGAAGCCATAATTTCAAACAAGTATCATTGAATTGCCTCTTCACTAGTTTGCTGCTCCCTCTATGACATCTACTATATGCACGTACATTAGCGATGGCTGTTGCGGCATGTCCGATATGTATGATTCGCTATGCATCGCTACATTCGATGTGTTATGTAGCCAGATTAATATGCAAACACATATTCATTCTTTCGGGAATTACGATGTTTTGCAAAAACCTATACCAGTGGCGGCGGAAGCAGGGGGGCAAGGGGGGCAGCTGCACCCTAAAGCTATGGAAAGGGGCGCCTCGAAAATCTGTAGAGGAGGCAGGAAGTTAAGAGGTGCGGCAGCCATAAAGCTGAGCAGTGCGAGGCGACACCGCAACTGGTAAAGGCACTTGTGACACGAAGAGGGTGGCAATGACGTGGGAAAAATATCTTTTGATATGCTGAAGAGTGGAGGGCATCCTTATCTGAAACAAAGGCAGATGCTGCCGACCCTGTCGAATATAATCTTGCCAGGCGATAAAGGCTAGGAGGGCGCAGCTACTCGAGAAGCGCGTCATGCGGAAGAGGGGCGCCTGCATGCGAAAGAGGGGCGCCTGTGTGTGGGACGAAAAAGAAACATTTATGGAGACGTCTTTGAAGGCGATAGCCTCCAAACGCCAACACGAACATATGAGGGCTTATAGCGTTGCAGGCTCCATGCGACAAAAAGGGGCGCCTGATGGCCGATATGCGAGAGGAAATTAGTTTGTGTAACATTTATCGGGGGCGGTTTGCCGTTTACAACATATGAAGGTCCGAGATTGGGGCCTGTAAAATTGCACTGTCCGTATGGGCGGTTACACCCCTAGTGCTAGGGCGTATTTTGCGTTTTTTTTTTACTGGGGAGATGATTATGACCAGGAATAGCACTCTGCAAACTTCTATGGGCGCCTGTATAGGGGCGAAACTGATTTTCCAGTGCAGGGACGGCCATCGGCATGGTAAGGGGCGCCCAGCGGGAAGGGGCGCTTCAATATCGTTTGCACCCCTATCCTAGAATGCCTCCCGCCGCCACTGACCTATACTGGCTGTAGTAAACGTGATGTCAAAACATGTTGACGGATATTTGATCAGAAGCCAGTTTAGGAAATGATGTTTTTAGTTTTACCAACAGAGAAATCTGCAGCTGCCTTTTGATTATTTCTTTATTTTTGCCTGAAGTCGGCCCTGAATTTCGTACACGAACAAGTACATACCAGTATAACGCCTTTTGGGGCGACTAACGGAGCGAGCGAGAGGGTGGGCCTTGCACGTGCGAAATTTCGAGGGGGTACCTCCAACTGACTTGTGCACGGCACCCTACTAACCGGTCTCTAGCGATGTGCCAAATTTGAGCACAATCGGCCCAGCCGTTCTCGAGATCTGGAAGCGGCACCCTGCACGTGCGCACGTGCAAA